TCCTGCCTCATCCTCCTGAGTAGCTAGCATTACAGGTGCCCACCACCACGGCTGGCTAATTTTTGTATTTTTAGTACAGATGGGGTTTCACCTTGTTGGCCAGGCTGATCTCAAACTTGACCTCAGGTGATCCACCCACCTCGGCCTCCCAAAGTGCTGGGATTACAGGCATGAGCCACCAAGCCCCGCTATTTCCCACTTCTTTTAATTACTGGAACAAGGTGTATAAACAATGCCTTGAGTGAAATAGTCATGACCATCACCACTTTCATATTCTGTATGACAGTATAACTGTGTTCAGAAAACATAAACTGTTTTTTAAAAGCCTGTATAAAAAAATACAGATAAAAATTGAAATATTTTATAGTCATCTGCATTTACAACTGCTTTGTCCAGGCTTAAAGCTGATTTCTTTAAAGATCAAACCATTCAAACCTTTAATTTTCAAGATCAGGGAATTGAGACTAGCCCATGATATGGTGCATAGTAGTAATGACACAGCTGAGACCAGGAAGGACCTCAGCTTCTGAAGACCTCAGAGTTTAAAGAAGTTCCCTCTTTCAAGTATCCAGGAAGGCCACTTGTAATGCCAGGCAGTGCCAGGAAGGAAGTGGAAATGGACAAGAACAAGAGAGGATGGCAAACCCCTATGGCTTTGTTATTTTGTTGTTAGGAACATTTTCATGTGACTTAAAAAATATCTGATGATTAGCTGCATAGAGGTACCAGGAAAAAAAAAGTTTAAAATTTTTTTTTATCTGATCAAGGTGAAGGGGAATTTCTGGGAGGAGGCTTTATTCCTTTTTTTGTTTTTGATGAAGTCTTGCTCTGTTTCCTAGGTGGAGTACAGTGGTGCGATCTTGGCTCACTGCAACTTCTGCTTCCTGAGTTCAAGCGATTCTCCTGCCTCACCCTCCTGAGTACCTGGGACTACAGGCGCACGCCACCACACCTGACTGATTTTTGTATTTTTAGTTTTGCCATGTTGTCCAGGCTGGTGTTGAATTCCTGACCTCAGGTGATCCATCTGCCTCAGCCTCTCAAAGTGATGGGATTTTAGGTATGAGCCACCACACCCAGCCAGGAGGCTTCTTTTTTTTTTTTTTTTTTTTTTGAGATGGAGTCTCGCTCTGTCACCCAGGCTGGAGTGCAGTGGCGCAGTCTTGGCTCACTGCAGCCTCTGCTTCCAGGGTTCCAGCAGCAATTCTCCTGCCTCAGCCTTCCAGATAACTAGGATTACAGGCACACGCCACTATGCCTGGCTAGTTTTTGTATTTTTTGTAGAGATGGGGTTTCACCATGTTGGCCAGGCTGGTCTCGAACGCCCGACCTCAGATGATCCACCTGCGTCAGCCTCCCGATGTGCTAGGATTATAGGTGTGAGCCACCGCACCCAGCCAGGAGGTTTTATTCCTATTATATGCACAGTGGAAATGCTGTGATGGACTGGACCTATTGAAGTCACAAATCAGATGCCTGCTGGACCAAGTAACTGGGTTTAGGCTTTCTCTGAGGAGGGTCAGGGATCTATTGCTGTTGGGCAGGAAAGGGAGCCAGGAAAGGGAGCCAGGAAAGCCAGATATTCCGAATTTCCAAGAGCCAGAAATCCCAGTTTTTAATTTGAAATCTCCCAAATGTTGCCGGGCGCAGTGGCTCACGCCTGTAATCCCAGCACTTTGGAAGGCCAAGGTGGGTGGATCACGAGGTCAGGAGATCAAGACCATCCTTGTCAACATGGTGAAACCCTGCCTCTACTAAAAATACAAAAAAATTTAGCCGGCCACGGTGGCGGGTGCTGTAGTCCCAGTTACTCAGGAGGCTCAGGCAGGAGAATCTCTTCAACCCAGGAGGCGGAGGTTGCAGTGAGCCAAGATCGTGCCACTGCACTCCAGCCTGGGCGACAGACCAAGACACTGTCTCAAAATGAAGAAAGAAAGAAAGAAAAGAAAGAAAAGAAAAGAAAGAAAGAAAGAAAATCTCCCTATTTCAATTTTTTTTGAACACTGTGTGTACCACATAAACTTCTGAGTTGGCTAGCCAGAGACTCCAGTTTTTAGGCTTTACGATAAATAAATATGATAGTACACATTTTGATACCAGGTAGACCTGGATTTTCTTGTAAGCTTAGCTGGGTATAAATCATTATTCCTTTCCTTCTTAGCATTCATGAGAAATGAGAAATAATATCATCTCTCTCCCAATCCAGATTTCTTATTGTTTGTGGGAGGAATGATTAGATGGTAAAACGGGCTGGGCGCGGTGGCTCACACCTGTAATCCCAGCACTTTGGGAGGCCGAGGTGGGCGGATCACCTGAGGTCAGGAGTTCGAGGCCAGCCTGGCCAACATAGCGAAACCCCGTCTCTACTAAAAATACAAAAATTAGCCAGGCATGGTGGCAGGTGCCTGTAATTCCAGCTACTTGAGAGACTGAGGCAGGAGAATCACTTGAACCCAGGAGGTGGAGTTTGCAGTGAGCCATAATAGCGCCACTGCACTCCAGCCTGGGTGACAGACCAAGACTCCATCACAAGAAAAAAAAAAAAAAGTACAAAAACTTCCAATATCAATAATTTAAGTAGGTACATTAAACACAGCCTCTTTAAGTAAGATGGGAAAGACTTATGATTATTCATATTCTGGCGTTCCTGTGAAAATCAGCTAGAATCACTTAAGTGCTCAAAACCCCAGTTTCTGGTTCTGTTTAATGGGAACTGAAAAAATATCCACCACCACTCTCCCTTCTCTGTCAAGGTGTCAAGTAAGCTAACATTTGGGAAGGCCCGAGGAAAAGCCGAAGTGCTTCACAAAAAGAGATGTTCGGCCAAGTGCAGTGGCTCACACCTGTAATGCCAGCACTATGGGAGGCCAAGGTGGATGGAGGCCAGGAGTTCGAGACCAGCCTGGCCAACATGGCAAAACCCTGTCTCTACTAAAAATACAAAAAATTGGCCAAGCATGGTGGTGCGCACTTGTAATCCCAGCCACTCAGGAGGCTAAGGCAGGAGAATTGCTTGAAGCCGGGTGGTGGAGGCTGCAGTGAGCCAAGATCATGCCACTGCACTCCAGCCTGGGTGACAGAGCCAGATCATGTGTCAGAAAAAAAAAAAAAAAAAAAAGTAGATGTTTACCTGTCACTAATTCATTGTGTTGCTGTTCCATATTAAAATTTAGACCAACTATTAAACTTCAATTCTTTTAGTGTGTTTTTGTTTGTTTGTTTGTTTGTTTTTTTAAGATGGAGTTTCGCTCTTGTTGCCCAGGCTGGAATGCAATGGTGAGATCTCAGCTCACCACAACCTCCTCCTCCCGTGTCAAGCGATTCTCCCGCCTAAGCCTCCGGCGTGGCTGGGATTACAGGCATGCGCAATCACGCCCAGCATTGTATTTTTAGTAGAGACAGGGTTTCTCCATGTTGGTCAGGCTGGTCTCAAACTCCTGACCTCAGGTGATCCTCCCACCTCGGCCTCCCAAAGTGGCTCACGGATTACAGGCGTGAGCCACCATGCCTGGCCTAAACTCCGATTCTTTTAAACCACAGCTATAAGAGTCAGGCAAAAGTCACCCCTTTTTTTTTTTTTTTTTTCTGAGATGGAGTGTCACTCTTGTTGCCCAGGCTGGGGTGCAATGGCACGATCTTGGCTCACTGCAACCTCCGCCTCCAGGGTTAAAATGATTCTCCTGTCTCAGCCTCCCATGTAGCTGGGATTACAGGCAATGCGCCACCACGCCTGGCTAATTTTTTATATTTTTAGTAGAGGCAGGGTTTCACCATGTTGGTCATGCTAGTCTCGAACTCCTGACTTTGTGATCCGCCCGCCTTGGCCCCCCAAAGTGCTGGCATTACAGGCGTGAGCCACCGCGCCCGGCCAATGGTTCTTCAAATTAGTTTCTAAACACCCCAACTCATCTTAATAGCACAACCCCTATTTTCTAGACATCAGTATTATTGTACTTACTGATTTGGATCTGATCCATAATCCACCAGAACATCAACTAATTTCCTAAGGCCCAATAATGCCGCAACAAAAAGTGCTGTTTGGCCCAAGTTGTTAACTGCATCAACATAAATTCCTGCAAAGGAAATATCAGAATCAATGCAAATATCAGAAAATTTCCTGAGATGGAACTGGGTGGTGGGGGGGGGGATTAAAGAAGGCCTTCATTAGTCACACATAGATATACTGGAAGGCAAACTCAGTGTTTATTCATCAAAAATATTTACAGAAAGTTGCATTGAAGCATTTAGTTCACCACACTCTGGTGTATTACAAAATGGATTAAAATGGTTCTCAATCATGGGAAGGGATGAGGGAGGGACTAAAGATACTGTGTGTGTTGGGAGGAAGGCTATAACATAAAAAGAGCTCACTGGAATTACAAGTCCTCACCTAAAAGATCTTACTAAAGTATAAAGACTAATTAGACAAGGGAAAACAAAATACACAAAACAGACCAATTTCCAGTACTATCAAACAATGAGGCTGTGAATAATTAAAAGGGACTGAAAAAAAAGAAAAAGGCCAAAGTAGTAACACGACCAAGAAAAAAAATAAAACACGTCTTACCTACCAAGAAAAAATTAATCGCGCACGCCTGTAATCCCAGCTCTTTGGGAAGCGGAGGCGACTGGATCACCTAAGGCTAAGAGCTCGAACCCACCCTGGCCAACAAAGCGAAATCACCTCTCTACTAAATATACAAAAACTAGCAGGGAATAGAGGCGAACCTGCAATCCCACCTACTTAGAAGACGGAAGCAGGAGAAATGCTTAAGAGACGGAAGCTGCAATGACCCGAAATCGGGCCATTTCACTCCGGCCTAAGATAACAGAACAATGCCCTAACTCAAAAAAGTAAAAAACAACAGCACATGTACACACTTAACCAGTCTCCAAAAAACAAAAGAAAAATGAGCATTCCCTTAAACCACAACTAATTGAAAAAATCGCTGACTAGTTGACACACGAACTACCTTTCATACACAAGTAAAACATCCGGAATCACTCAGATTGCGCTCTCTCCCTTTTACTCTCCCAAAAGGAAAGAAGAACGATCATCAATGCCAAAAGGCAAACGCGATAAAACAATACCAAGTGGCAATCTCACGCTCAGGAAAAAAACCACTGCATCTCTATTCTCGTGGTTTCCGGTATTCTACACGTTCAAAGAAACTTCTCTAGTAACAAACTTTAGAAATGATCCCTCAAAGTAGAGTCTTACCCGACCGTACCACGCCTCCCCCATGCGAAAGAAACTCACACATATTTCGTTGATGGTGAGTTTTTCGTGAGCACCATTTTCTCCTAGAAAATATTAGTATGTGCTTTTTTCCAAAAACGATCTTTCCATTACCAAAGTTCGACAAAGCATTTAAAATAAACTCAAAATTTCGAAGATACTTTAGGCAATCACGGTAATTAACATATGGTAGCAAAACAGCCAATCACTCGCTAGATACTTTCTAACCCCGCCCCATTTTCCTCCACACGTAACGCTGACGACTATAAAGCGCGCCGGAGCTCCAGAAACCTTCAACGACGCTGCCCAGTTTGGACCTATAATCGGAAGCGAGGAGGCCCTTTGAGAACAACCAAAGAGTGAAGGAGAAAGCGATAATTCAAAGCCAAAGACTTTGATATTCGCATATCGCGCCCTATTATATTTTATACTGTGATCAAAATTCCAGACACATAAATACTTTGGATTTCTTCCCCCCAAACCAGGGAGTTTTTATTCTACATGGCATTGCTGTGTTTATTTTTTTCTGGTTCTCGCACTCTTGCCCAGGATGGTCCTGAACTCCTGGATTCAAGCGATCCTCCCACTTCAGCCTTCCAAAATGCTGGGATTACAGGCGTTAGCCATCACACCCAGTCACTGCTGTGTTTAAACAAACAGGACAACATATTCCCCTGGTTTAAGCTTCAGTAGCTTCCCATTTCTTGAGGTAGAAACAAAACTTCTCTACATACTTCTGTGAGAAAATATTTTAAATGGTCCATTTTCAAGGCATAATAGATAAATCTAAGTACTGGCAGCCAGCCTGCAAACGTAACAAACCGCACAGCTCATGCACCTAGAAGGTCACAATAAGCGAACAGAATGTAGAGGAAGGGTCAGCCCATAAAAGGGAAGAAAGTTTCTTTATTGGGAAATCGAAAATTAAAGCAGAGGGTTACAGCTGCAACCCTGAGGTCCACTACCATCTTGAGGCAAGCTAGGGCCAGAGATGGTAGTTCCCCGCTGTACTCCCAGCACTTTGGCAGGCCAGGCAGATCACTTGAGGTCGGGAGTTTGAGACCAGCCTGGCTAACGTGGAGGAACCCCATCTCTACCATAAAAATAGAAAAATCAGCCGGGGGCTGGGCGCGGTGGCTTACGCCTGTAATCCCAGCACTTTGAGAGGCTGAGGCGGGTGAATCACAAGGTCAGGAGATTGAGACCTGCCTAGCCAACATGGTGAAACCTCGTCTCTACTAAAAACTACAAAAATCAGCTGGGCATGGTGGCACGTGCTTGTAGTCCCAGCTACTCAGGAGGCTGAGGCAGGAGAATCACTTGAACGCAGGAGGCAGAGGTTGCAGTGAGCCAAGATCACGCCATTGCCCTCCAGCCTGGTGACAGAGCAAGACTCCGTCTCAGGGGAAAAAAAAAAAAAAAAAGCAAATAACAAAAAAAGCCAAAAAGTAGGCAGAGATTAGAGGAAAACCTGGAAGACATGGGTCACAAGTGACAAGGAAGGTTAACAGTTTCAAAAAGAAGGATCAGTCAACAGTATCAAAGCCTGAGACATCTAGTAAGAAGAAATTGGGCTGGGTGTGGGGGCTCACACCTGTAATCCCAGCACTTTGGGAAGCTGAGGTGGGTGGATCACTTGAGGCCAAGAGTTCAAGACCAGCCTGGCCAACATGGTGAAACCCTGTCTCTAATAAAAATACAAAAATACACAAAAATTAGCCGGGCTTGGTGGCAGGCGCCTGTAATGCCAGCTACTCGGGAGGCTGAGGCAGGAGGTGGAGGTTGCAGTGAGCTGAGATTGTGCTACTGCACTCCAACCTGGGCAACAGAGTGAGAACCTGTCTCAAATAAAAGAAAAAAAGAAAAAGAAACAGTGTTCATGGTGAGAGCATTACTAGAGGGGTTCACATGTCTTACTGCTCAGGACTTGCTGTGTTACAAAAATTTGTGGTATGTTTGTGTCCTCTACCAGACTGTCTTTCCTACACTAGAGGGTAGGAACTGCCCAGTGTATCTCCCCTATCTTCAGTGCCTTGTTCACTTATCTGCCCAACACAAGCCAGCCTAAGAGTAGAAAAGAGCAGCAGAGAATAGAAAAAGGACAATTCTGCATGGATCTCTCAGTTATGCGTGTTACGGGGGCAAGGCACTAACCTGTTCAGGGCACCTCTTTGAAGATATTTGTATAATGAACTTTGGAAGACACATAGTATCTACATTCATAGCAAATTGAATACATGCTTATCATCCAGTATAATAAAAACAATGTCTCCAGCCGGGCGCGGTGGCTCATGCCTGTAATCCCAACACTTTGGGAGACCGAGGCAGGCGGATCACCTGAGATCAGAAGTTCGAGACCAGCCTGGCCAACATGGTAAAACTCCACCTTTACTAAAACTACAAAAAGTAGCTGGGCATGGTGGCGGACGCCTGTAATACCAGCTACTCAGGAGGCTGAGGGAGGAGAATTGCTGGAACCCAGAAGGTGGAAGTTGCAGTGAGCTGAGATCTCAACATTGCACTCCAGCCTAGGTTGACAAAGCGAAACTCTGTCTCAAAAAAAAAAAAAAAAAAGGTTAAAAGGAAAAAATACTGATATTCTGGCTACTGCTATTGCTATGAGTTATAAACCATCATTCATCTATGACCCCAAGAATCTCATCCACACACCTGTAGCAGTCTAATTTATCAAATCTGAAACTATTTATAGTTATTGACAAGAAGAAATTACAGTCAAGTGAAGCAGGCTGACAAGAAGTTATAGTTATTGACAAGAAGAAATTACAGTCTAGGGAAGCCCCTCCTGGGGCTCAGGAGGCAAAAAAATTAAATCAACCAAGGCCTCCAAGGGCTTCTCTCTTTTTTTTTTTTTTTTTTTTTTGAGACAGAGTCTCCCTCTGTAGCCCACGCTAGAGTGCAGTGGCATGATCTTGGCCCACTGCATCCTCTGCCTCCCAGATTCAAGTGATTCACCTGCCTCAGCCTCCCGAATAGCTGCAATTACAGGCACGCACCACCATGCCCAGCTAATTTTTGTATTTTTAGTAGATATGGGGTTTTACCATGTTGGCCAGGCTGGTCGCAAACTCCTGACATCAAGAGATCCACCTGCCTTGGCCTCCGAAAGTGCTGGAATGACAGGCGTGAGCCACCGCGCCCAGCCCTCCAAGGGCTTCTCTAAGGATCAGAAAACACTTAGGGGAAGGCACTGAGCAACAAATCTTGAGGGGATACAGGTGGCTGGAAAGAAAAATAGGTGAAAACCTCTGTCCCTACAACTTAAGCAAACATGCCCTTTGGAGATTTCCTAATAAAAAATAACACTTATTCATTCAACAAATAATTATTTTAGGCCAGCATTGTACCCATGTTGTGGCTGCTGTAAAGGTAACTAAAAACAGTCCCACAAGAAGTGACCAGAGGCAGCTATGACAAAGACTGACCAAAAAGGTTAAAAGACCTGGATTCAAATGTTGACATCCTAATACCACCCTCATTAGCCCAGGGCCTCGAGATGGGTCAGTCACCTAACCTCTGGGCCTCCTACGAGGTAATATCTGATATTAACAATAATGTATGCCAGGCATCATTCTTTTAATTCACTTAATCCTCACAACTCTACAACACGAAGAAGAAACTATTATTATCACTATTTTGTAGATGGAGAAATGGAGAGAGATCAATTTGCCAGAGGTCACAAACCAGTCTGGTTCTAAAGTCCATGCACTATACCACTGTCTCTGTGATATTGTGCAACATATATTTGGGGCTGGGCGCGGTGGCTCATGCCTGTCATCCCAGCACTTTGGGAGGCCGAGGCAGGTGGATCACCTGCGGTCAGGAGTTGGAGACCAGCCTGACCAATATGGTGAAACCCCGTATCTACTAGTAAATTACATAAATTAGCGGGGCATGGTGGCATGCGCCTGTAGTCCCAGCTACTTGGGAGGCTGAGGCAGGAGAATTGCTTGAACTGGGGAAGCAGAGGTTGCAGTGAGCTGAGATCATGCCAGTACACTCCAGCCTGGGTGACAGAGCGAGACTCTGTCTCAAAAAAAAAAAAAAAAAAAAGATTTATTTGGGGCTGGGCATGGTGGCTCATGCCTGTAATCCCAATACTTTGGGAGGCAGAAGCACATGGATCACTTGAGGTCAGGAGTTCGAGACCAGTCTGGCGAACATGGTGAAACCCCGTCTCTACTAAAAATACAAAAATTAGTTGGGCATGGTGGTGGGCGCCTGTAATCCTAGCTACTTGGGAGGCTGAGTCATGAGAATTGCTTGAAGCCCAGGAGGCAGAGGTTGCAGTGAGTGTGCCATTGCACTCCAGCCTAGGTGACAGAGTGAGACTCTGTCTCAAAAAACAAACAAACAAACAAACAAACAACCAAAAAAAAACCAAGAAATATATATTTGGTCTTCATGCCTGTTTCCTGATATGGAGCTTCTAAAACTCTTTGAACCTCTGGAATGATGAGTATCTTTTGTATGCTGATGCTGACTGTAGCTAGTGACTGGGCCCATCCAGATGGCATCAGGATGACAGCTGGTCACTGGAAAGACCAAAGCATGATGAGAGGGTTGGGACTCTTAGCCCTGCCCCCCAACCTTTGGGGAGGGGAGAGGGGCTGAAGGTTAAATTGATCACCAATGGCTAGTGATTTAATCTACCATGCCTACGTAATGAAGTTTCCATAAAAACCCAAAAGGGGCCAGGCGCGGTGGCTCAAGCCTGTAATCCCAGCACTTTGGGAGGCCGAGACGGGCGGATCACGAGGTCAGGAGATCGAGACCATCCTGGCTAACACGGTGAAACCCCGTCTCTATTAAAAAAATACAAAAAACTAGCCGGGCGAGGTGGCGGGCGCCTGTAGTCCCAGCTACTCGGGAGGCTGAGGCAGGAGAATGGCGTGAACCCGGGAGGCGGAGCTTGCAGTGAGCTGAGATCGCGCCACTGCACTCCAGCCTGGGTGACAGAGT